TATATATATGATTTCTTCCCCTTCAGGGACCATCATTTGGTTTCTTAATTTATTTATTTTTATAAAAGCATGTGCAGTGTATACTTGGAAACAGAACACATGGCTCATGAAATGCAGCAGTCATTCTCCCCTTGAACAAATGGCAAGCTATAATTATACAATCGCTCATTATATACAGTACAGGCATATGACCCGTTATAAGGCCGCACAGCCCGAAAACAGATTGCTTAGCAGACACATGAAATCATTACACAGCTGACAACATGAAGAATCACAATGAAATGTATAACTGCAGTAGTTCATCATACACCCATAAAACGAGGATTACATACAGAAAGGTTCTCTTTTCTACTTTGTATCTCAGCCAGGAAATTTAGAAGAAAACAAAACAAAAACCTGACAGTTTATCATACCAACTAGGGATGATGACGTTTTTTTTTTGGTACAGAGTACCAATATTTTTTCAGGTACCCCCCGATGCCGGCTTTCTGATTGCCTGGGAGGCCGGTGTTCTATCGAAAGAACACCGGCTTAACGTTCTGAGGCAGCGTGGCTTCCTGACCAATCAGGAAGCCGTGAGGCAGGTCATGACCCGCCTCCCGGCTTTCTGATTGGTCTGAAAGCCAGGCTGCCTAGCAAAAAGTCAAGCCGGCTTTCTAGCCATTCAAGAAGGCGGGAGGACGGATCATGACGTGCCGCCCGGTTTCCTGATTGGTCAGGAAACCAGGCTGCCTAGCAAAAAGTCAAGCCGGCTTTCTAGCCATTCAAGAAGGCGGGAGGACGGATCATGACGTGCCGCCCGGTTTCCTGATTGGTCAGGAAACCAGGCTGCCTAGCAACAAGTGAAGCCGGGTCATGAACAGTAATAAATGTGATATTAATGAACGTTCCTCTCAGTTTGTCCCTCTAATTGCACTTTAAAATTGCTCAGAATCGCTTACAGCCCTGTGTGTAATCTGCTCAACAGAAACTAGAAAGGCAAGAAACGTTTTTTGTTTTTATTTCATGATGTTTAGATTTGCTGTGTGAATGAGGACACAGTGGCGATTTCCTCAAATTTGACCGCAAAAGTGAAAATACACTTGAAACAAACATCTTTCAGACCATAGGTCTGAATTTTATTGGCTTGACTTTCCACTTTAAAATGTGGGTCCTTATGATTGTGTATCTGCCACTAGTCCACAGGGAAACATCCAACACAACATCTGATAAATAAACACATCAGCGTGATGTCCTCTGCTGCCTGCACAACATCAAATTCACAAGATGGACCCAAGAAACATTAAAAACAATGATATGATATAACAACACTGATACCTGCGCAGTGGTGGTGTAGTAATTCAATATGAGAGTACTCTTTGTACTGGAGAAGAGGAAAGCATGCCTGCAGGGGGAAGCCATGTTGTGTGATCAGACACCCAATCCCAGTGCACTCCCTGAACAAAGCTGTGTGTCATGAACCTACACTAACGACAAACGCACTCAACAATTTGTTACCAGTTATACAGTAAGGTGCACACGAAATGGGCTTTGAACAGTGGTACAGTAGAAAGGCATCATGGCACACTCACAAACCAGCATGTAAAACAACTTGTCTCACCACTAAGGACAATGACAGAGGTTTGGATACACGTCTTCTGCAAAGGATGTGTAAGCCGCACTGCCGCGCCAAGGCACCTCTTATAGTGCGGTCCTAACTCTAAACTATGAGAGTCTCCATCTTGGAGCACATGGGGGCAGAAGATATCAAATTGGGTGCAGGCCTGGCAGGAGGACGCCCCACCTCCTTAAAGGTACAGAGACACACAAGGGATCCCGCACATCCCATTGGCAGCTGAGAAACCCCATGCGTCGCTGCACCAAATCGGTAAAGCAAAACAAACGACAAACGCACTCAACAATTTGTTACCAAACCTCTGTCATTGTCCTTAGTGGTGAGACAAGTTGTTTTACATGCTGGTTTGTGAGTGTGCCATGATGCCTTTCTACTGTACCAATGAACCTACACTAGGCTGTACTGCCCCGTCTGTGGTGAAAGATCACTTAAATGCTTCTTGTAGCTTTATTGGAATTGTTGATGCTAAATACAACTAACCGCAGCAACTGTGTCGGCTTCATTTGAAGCCACATAACACAAAAGTCACAAACACTAGTTTAGGGCCCGTTCACATCAGATGCATTGGGGCTGAGCTGGACCCCTTTTCTAGTGCAGCACCAACACACAGCCAAAGCAATCTGGTCTTAAATCGGCTCCCTGTTCACACCAACGCAATGCACTGCATGCAGTACTTTTTTCAGCGCAGGGTGAAGCGATGCGGTGTAACCACAACACACCGCCCTGTGCCGACAGAATTTAACGAACTCGTGACAACAAAAAGTAAGCAGTGCGATGCTCCGGGATTGGCACGTTCACACTGTTAACCATCAGCGCACACCAACGGCCATACGTT